TAATCTAGCCACTGATTACAATATTGTTCCCATGGAGGAAAGTGACTTTTTCTACAATTTGCTCTGTAAATTTTTTTTTTCTTGCTTTGCAATTTAGATCTCATACTGAAGCATTTAAAGAAGACTTTATACACAGTTTGGTCCCTAATTTCAGTTAAAAGAAAGAAAAAGAAAGAAACCTGCTGAAACATGGTTAGGCTAAGAAATCCCTATGGAATTAAAATGTTCGTGTTGAACTTGTAGTTTTTGGACCTTTATAATATGTTTTGTTGTTAGGTTCAAATTGGCCTTTTTTAAAATCAAGTTGCTTAATCATGCTGAGTCACTCATCTACCCAGAGATAATTCTTAATTGCTGAAGCAAGGTGGCTTTCCACTCTGTTATAAAAGGTGGAATAAAACTGCTCACTTTGTGATTTAATGGCAGAGCACTATGTAAATAAATATGGCTGCAGTAACTGATGAGGAGCTTAAGATGATATGGTTTTGTATGTTTAAAACCAAAACCAAACCCACTGCCATTGAGTCGATTCTCACTCACAGTGACCCCCACTGGGTTTCTAAGGCTGTAAATCTTTATGGAAGTACATTGTCCCATCTTCCGTCTGCAGAGTGGCTGGTGAGTTTGAAACACCAACCTTCTGGTCAGCAGGCAAATGCCTTAGGCTGTGCCATCAGAGTTCCTTTTTGTATATTCAAATGGGCTTATTTTCTGAATAAAAATAACTGATACTTGTTGAATGATTATTATGAGCCAGGCACTGTGCTAAATGCTTTGCATAAATTATTTAATTCTCACAATAATTCTGTGAGATAGGTATTAATATATAATTTTATGAATGGGAAACTGGAGCTTGTTGTTGTTAGATGTCATCAAGTCTGCTCTGACTCATAGAGACCCTCTGTACAACAGAATGAAACACTGTGCCCAGTACTGTGCCAGCCACACAATCCTTGCTAAACCTGAGCCCATCGTTGCAGACACTATGTCAGTCCACCTCATTGAAGACCTTACCCTTTTTCATTGACCCTCCACTTCACCAAGCATGATATCCTTCTCCAGGGAATGGTCCCTTCTGACAACATGACCAAACTAAGTAAGACGAAGTCTGGCCATTCTTGCTTCCAAGGAGCATTCCAGCTGCACCTCTTCCAGGACAGATTTGTTCATTCTCTTGGCAGTCCATGGTACTTTCAATATTCTTCATCAACACCACAACCCAAAAGCATCAACTCTTCTTTGGTCTTCTTTGTTCATTGTCCAGCTCTCACACGCATATGAAGCGACTGAAAATACCATGGCTTGGGTTAGATGCACCTTAGTCTTTAAGGAGACATCTTTGCTCTTTAGCACTTGAAAGAGGTCTTTTGCAGCAGATTTGCCCAGTGCAATATGTTGTCTGATGTCTTGACTGCTGCTTCCATTGATGTTGATTGTGGAATCGAGTAATATGAAATCTTTAACAACTTCAATTTCTTCTCCATTTATTGTGATGCTGCTTATTGGTCCAGTTGTGAGGATTTTCGTTTTCTTTATGTTGAGATTCTTAGTAAGATTAAATGACCTGATTGGGGCAGAGAACTAATATAGAACAGGATTAAGATTTGAATCCAGACCTGGCACTTCACCATTGTGATAAACTGCAACATAATAGTTATTATGGGTAGTGTTCTCAGTACAGTGCATGTATTAAATCATTTGTTGTTGTTAGGCGCCGTCCAGTTGTCTTCAACTCATAGCGACCTTATGCACAACAGAACGAAACACCGCCCAGGCCCGAGCCAGCTCCACGATTACATAATTTAATGCTGTTTAATAATTTTATGAGGAATCTACTATCATTATTATTATCATTTCTACTTTACAGATGAGGAAACTGAGGTACAAAGAAGTCAGTCACTTGCTCCAGGTCCCAGAGCTGGTAAGTGGTAGGGGTAGAATTTGAAGGCAGGCCTCCTAATTCAACACTCCATGTTCCCATCACCTCACTCAAAGAAATGCCCTTGGCCTGGAAGCTTTTATCTGAAGAATAAATAAGGCAATGTTCAGGTTTGTCATGCATAAATTGTTTTAGTTCATTGTAAGGTAGTCATGGCAATGCATGCAAGTAAGACCTCAAGATGTTTACTTGACACCACAGAATCAGAATTAACAATTACAATGCTAGTTTACATGTTAAAGTCCAAATCTTCAGACTTTAGCCTTTTTTACCTTTAGTGAGTATTCTTGGGGGGGAGACTTGACCACCTCTCAAACTCAGAAGAGGTCCCTATAGCTAGGATCCGAGGTTGGTTGTGGCAAGCAATATCTCAGAAGCCTTCTCGGTTTTCAGAAAGAGAGCTAGAGAGATCTTTTACATCTGTCTCCAGACATCCCCAGGTTTCCATAGCGTTTGTGCTGCCATGTTTAACTATCATTAGTATGCTTTATTGTCAACTAGAGAAATTGTTATATTACATATTTCTGTTTTGCTAATTTATAAAGATCTGAATTATTCTCAATTAAGGCATGGTACATTTATGTTCTTATTTATGGCAATATTTCAAGGCCAAGTTAATTAAATTAAAATTATGAGGAAAAAACAAACAAAAAGATCTACTGGAGACGAGAGGACTCCCTGAGCCCTGAGATACTTTTCAAAACTTGAACTGAGAATAATCCCTGCGGTCACCATTTAACTAAATAACAAATTGGCTCAAAAAATAATGAATGTCACCCATAAGTGCTGTGCTCCTTTGAAGAATCACCTATATGAGACCAGACAGTCAGCAATTACTTTAAAACAAAGATGAGACTGTAAGGGGGAGGGGAAACTAGATGAATAGAAATAGAACAGCCAGAATGGAAATAATAAGAATGTTCATGCATTGAACGTAACCAATGTCATTGAACAACTTGTGTAGAAACTGTTGAACGGGAACCTAAAATCTTCACTAAAACACAATATAATGTTATTTTTAAAAATTATGGGAATTATTTAGTGACATATTTATGTTTTGCTAATTTATAGAGATTTGATTAATGTTGCATTGTTTATCACAGAGTGCAGGTGCACAGCCTAGGTTAGGGAAATTATTTATGACTTCACATATGTGTATTACCCATTTAAAAAGTAGGAATGACTTCCTAATGACTTACAGTTAATGGTTAGAGAGTATCATAAAAATATACATGTTTCTATTTCTCAGTTCAGGAATTCTCTGTGACTTACACATAGGTGTTTAAAAGCATTATAAAAACATCATAACAGTATAAAAAACATTATAGATGCATACACAAGAGTGATTTGAAAACATCACAAAATCATGCACAATTATTTAAAAATTGCTTTGAAGTTTAATTTATCTATTTTTTCTTCTGGTGTGAGTGTGTTGGGTTCATATATAAGAATTCATTTCCAAATCCAAGGTAATGGAAGATTTATTCCAACGTTTCCTTCTAAGAGTTTTACGATTTTAGCTCTTCTATTTAGGTCATTGATTCATTTAGAGTTAATCTGTGTATATGGTGTGAGATAGGGGCCTATTTTTTTGCATGTGTGTATCCAGTTCCCCCAACACCATTTGCTAAAGGGCTGCTTTGCCTTTGCTACAAAAACATAAAATAAGCAGGTGCAAGTCATTCATTTGTGACCCATAGTGGCTATTGTGTGCCTTGTATTACACTGGACAGTGATTATGAAAAAAGGAAAAGTTGCAGTTGCTGTATTCAGTGAGCTTAGTGGCTCCAATCAGACAATCATAAGACCATGGCGATGTGAAGGAGGTATGGAGGCAGGTGTATCTAAGAGTGCAAAGTCTGCCAAGGGTGGAGGGGGAGGAAAGTCCCACAAAGATGGTCAGAGCTGTGTTGTCTCCTTTGGGTTCCCACCTTTCTAGACAAAAAGCATGTCCAATCCTACCTGCATCTGTCTCTGGCTTCCAGGGTCTATGGCAGAGAAGTAGATGAAAAGCCATTTTAGAACATACACCAAACCTCCAGCTGGGGTGAGAGATGTTAGGCATGGGACAGTGGCTCTAGTAGTGGCATTTTCTCTTCAGAAGACCCTGTTCAAGAATCAGCAGTCAAAAAATCAGACACTGTACTGCACTAGGCAAATCTGCTGCAAAAGACCTCTTTAAAGTATAAGGAGCAAAGATGTCACTTTGAAGACAAAGGTGTGCCTAACTCAAGTCATGGTATTTTCAATGACCTCATATGCATGTGAAAATTGGACAATGAATAAGGAAAACTGAAGATGAGTTGATGCCTTTGAGTTGTGGTGTTGGCAAAGAATACTGAAAATACCATGGTTTGCCAGAAGAATGAACAAACCTATCTTGGAAGAAGTGCAGCCAGAATACTCCTTAGAAGAAAGAATGGCCACACTTCATCTCACCTACTTTGGTCATGTTGTTAGAAGGAACCATTCCCTGGAGAAGGATATCATGCTTGGTAAAGTGGAGGGTCAGCAAGAAAGGGAAAGGCCCTCAATGAGACAGACTGACACAGTGGCTACAACGATGGGCTCAAGCATAGTGGGGATTGATTGGGAGGATGGTTCAGGACCAGGCAGTGTTTCATTCTGTTGTACATAAGGTCACTATGAGTTGGAGCCGACTTGATGGGACCTAATAATAACAACAACCCAATCACAAGAAGTCATTGGGACCAACTGTGCCCCATCTTTCTCAGCTTTCCTTTACCCATGAGGGAGGTGCTGAGCTGCTGGGGAGAGCACAGACTGCAGAGATCCAGTGGATCCAGAGATCCAGTACTGGAACTGCATGATGACTAACACTTAGGTATGTCCTGACACCAAGGGCTCACCAGCCGAAATGTTTATCGGACAAGCAGTATTCTGAACACCCAGTATCTCTGAGAACAGTTGAAGCTCTTCTCACCACGGAGAGAGTCCAGGTCACCCAAGAAGCAGGGGAAGGAAAGCTAGGATCCACCTGGCACACATTTTCAGCCTGTCTTTTTCCAATTCCACTCTTTTGTGCTGTTACATACCTCAGGTGGTAAATCCCAAAGTCAAAATTGTTGCAACATCATTCTATAAGAGCAAGCTACTGAGCATGTCTAAATCTAGTCTGTAAAGTGAGGAAAATGATGGTACCAACTTTATAAATTTGTTTGATAATTCAATGTTATGCCTGAAAATAAATATGCCTGAGTAAGCCATACCTGGAAGTTCTGGTGGTGTAGTGCCTAAGGCATTTGACTGCTAACCAGAAGGCTGGCAGTTCAAACCCACCAGCCACTCCTGGGGAGGAAGACTGGACAATCTACTTCCGTAGAGATACCGCCTTGGAAACCCAAGGAGGGGTAGCTAGGAATCGGGACTGACTCGGTGTCAGTGAGTGTAGGTTTTTTGGCTTAAGCCACATCTAGCAGTCCTGGTGATGCAATGGTTAAGAGCTCTGTGGCTAACAAAAAGATCAATGGTTGAAACCCACAAGCCACTCCTCAGGAGAAAGATATGGCAATCTAGTTCTGTTAAGATTTACATTACAGTCTTGGAAACCCTTTGTCCTATAACAAACCAAACCAAACCCACTGACATCAAGTCAGTTCTAACCTATGTTGTTGTTATGTGCTGTCCAGTCGACCCAACTCACAGCAACCCTTCCTTGGGTTTCCGAGGTGGGATCTCTACAGAAGTAGAATGCCCAATCTTCCTTCCCAGGAGTGGCTGGTGGATTTGAACCACCAGCCTTCTGGTTAGTAGTCAAGTGCCTTAGGCACTACGCTATCAGAGCTCCTTTCTGTCACATAGCGACCCCCATTGGGTTTCTGGTCCTATAAATTGGAATTGACTGATAAATGGTTGATATGTGTGTTTTTTAAGCCACGTCTACCACCTAGTGGTAGCAGTAGGGAACAGCAGTTTTTTTCTTTTTTTCCTCTGAAGGGGCTTGAAAAATTGTTCAAATTGGGCCAGCAAATTCTAAACAGAAAGATAGCAAACATTACGGCTCCTCTAACTCTCTGCCTGGCTTCTGTAATGGATCAGAGCTGAGGAAACTTCCACTATTGATGTTGCAGTGTTTTAAAAGTCGCTGGATTATCTCTTGGTTCAATTAGTTTTCAACCTACATTGCAAAGCCATTCTTTTGGGGTCTCCTCCATTTCTTACCACCATCTAGCTTACCTTCCACTTTTTTAGACTGTAATGGCTTGTGGGCTGCTATGATGCTGGAGACTATGCCACCAGTATTTCAAATACCAGTAGGGTCACCCATGGTGGACAGGTTTTTAGCAGAGCTTCCAGACTAAGACCAGACAGAAAGGCCTGATGATATGCTTCCAAAATTCAATCAGCGAAAATCTTATGGATCACAAAAGAACATTGTCCAACTTGTTTGCTTTAGACATGTCCCTAGGAGGGATCAATTGGTATAGGAAGATATCTTGTTTGGGAGAACAGAGGGCCAACGGGGTGAGGGAGACTCTCAGTGAGATGATTGGCACATTAGCCACAATAATGGACCCGGACATGCTGGTAATTATGAGAATGACACAGGACTGGACATTTCCTTCTCTTGTACATACACCACCAGGAGCTCGAGGCGAGAGCCAGCTCTCTGGCTATGTTTCTTAGGATTTTGTTTTAAGGATGCAGCTTTGAATTGGCTGTTTTGTCAAGAGACAGAGGTAGAAAGAGAGAGAGAGGGAGATGGGGGCCGGGGAGAGAGAGAGAAAAAGAGAGAGAGAGCGGGAGAGGGGCGGAGGGAGAGAGAGAGAGAGAGGATTTGTTTTAATATATTGCATCTTTTCTCAGCGGCAGATCCAGGTCACGTGGGCCTAATGCTTGTACAATTTTAAGTCCTTTTTTTTTTTCTTCTTTTTTAAGGAAAAGAATACAATTACAAAAGAAAGATTAGGTACAAAAATGAATGTTTACTTGCATGAGGAAAGAAGGTGCTGTGCAAGGGGTCTGTGCAAGCGAGGGGCCCTGAGCTTGTCAGTTTCATGCTGAATCCACCTTTGTCTGACTTCCTTGCTGTTCTCCTTTCCTTGTGCTTCTAAGCACAGCCCCGCCTTCCAAGGGATGCCTTGCTTCTGCTTTTTGCAGATGGAACTACTTTTTGTTCATTTTCTAAAGTATTTATCCCCATGAAGACCTGTTCTGCTCTTCTCTCTTCTATCTGTGGATGCAAACGAATTGTTGCATCATCCCTCAGATATAATGACTCACCCAGACATTGCTTGCTGCGGTTGGGGTAGAATTCACCACTGACCCCGGGGTTTCCTTCCTAGGTGAGTGTCAGCGTTCCCTGTGTCAGGAATCGTGTGTAGCTATCCAAATGTCTTACTCTCATTCTCTCCTGGGGCACAAGGAAACACTATGTTTTTCCACAGTTTGGTAAATCATAGGTTTATTTTAGCTAACTAGATCCCTAGCTAAAGCTTTTTAAAGTAGAAAAGGTGAAGCCACCTTATGAAAAGGATTGAAAAGTAGGTACTCAAGGCCCTTCTACGCCATGCAATTTCATTTCAGAGGCTGAAGTCACGATACACTGTGTGTTCTGTTTTATGCTATAAACATTTTGCATATTTCAACATGTTTTTCATGAGTACACTTAATGAATGCTAATTACACTTATGTATTATAAACCAAAAAACCCCACACTCACTGCCGTTGAGTCGGATCCGACTCATGGCGACCCCTTCTTGGATTTCCAGGGGTGGTATTACTATGAAAGTAGATTGCCCAATCTTCCTTCTGAGGAGTGGCTGGTGGGTTTGAACCACCAGCCTTCTGGTTAGCCCTACGCCACCAGAGCTCTCTGTGAAGTATAAGTAATGAAAATATACTCCTATTGATAGACACAACTTTCCAGTTTTTCATTTTATAAGTAACTGTGGTAGTTAAGTTTGTGTGTCAACTTGGCTGAGTGGCTGGGGCAGCTGGATGTGGTATTTACCATGATGAGACTAGTAATCAACTCCATGGTGGAATCTACTGTGAGCAGCTGAGTAGCTGCTTTAGGGATGTCGTCTGCTTCCTGTATACGAGAAACAGCTTTGGGAATGGTCCCTAGCTTATGGCACGCTTGGACCCTGCACGTAGTCGTGTCATTGTTCAGCAGCCTGCAATGCTCTGCCGACCTTGAGACTTACAATAGGCTTGAATTAATGGCCTGCCATGTGGTTTGGTAACATCAGGACTGTGCCTTTTTACTTTTCAAGCTTGGGCTGTCTGAGTGAAGAAAAGCCTTTAGCTTCAGGGGACTGGGAGCAGGAGGGAAAGCTGAAGCCCAAGGTTGAGGGGTTTTCACCCAACCCTAGAACCTGGCACTTTGAATTCGGACTTAAAGCCTCCAAACTGTGAGAGAATAAATTCCTGTTTGTTCAAGCTATCTCATTTTTGGTATATTCCTGTCAGAATGGCACTAGGTAACCACAACAATAACCCTGACAAAAACTGGTATTTATTTATTTTTACTCTTGATACATTATTTCCTAAGAACATGAATGGGATTCTGGAATAATCATTGTGATGATATTGCTAGGCATAGCCACAATTTCCAAAAGAAATGTATCAATTTAAAATGTGCAGTGTTTCAATAGCATGCAGACCCAGCCAACTGCAGTTCTTGGGATCAGCCTCGGGCATGGCATAAGGATAATCCACTCCCTTGCCTCCTAAATTGTTTCCTCTTGTGTTTATAAAAACCAAAAACCAAACTCACTGCCATCAGAGTCCATTCTGACTCATAGCGACCCCTGTTGGATTTCTGAGGCTATAAATCTTTACAGAAGTAGAGTGTCCCATCTTTGTTTCACAGAGCAGCTGGTGGGTTTAAAATGCTGACCTTCTGGTTAGCAGCCAAATGCCTTATCCACTATGCCACCAGAGTTCCTTTCTTGTGTTTATGTTGTTGTTGTTATGTGCCATCGAGTAAGCCCCAACTCATAGCAACCCCTCCTTGGGTTTCTGAGGCAATATCACTACAGAAGTAGTATTGTCCAACCTTCCTTCCAAGGAGTGGCTGGTGGGTTTGAACCACCAGCCTTCTGGTTAGCAGTCAAGTGCCTTATCCACTATGCCACCAGAGTTCCTTTCTTGTGTTTATAGCACCTTCTTATTCCTGTGGAGGTGGCGGGTAGAGTCGCTGAAGAAAATGAACTACAAATGGCTTCTGGGTTTAAATAAGGTAGAAGTGTGCCAAGTGAACAGAGCAGCCCCACCCCCTTCTTGCACCTAGAATGCTTGAAGGGGGCCAGGACCCTGAAATATGCAGCCCACTATGGAGGCCCACATGCCATACGTCTAAATATTTAAAAATTACAAGTAAAACATATAAGTGGTTAAGAAAAATATGTCCTATCCTACTTTGACAAATATATCTTCATGACGACTTGCAATGACAGGTTTGAATTTAGAATTCTGACTTCTTGGGCATCTGCACACGGACACAGTGGCATGGAGAAAGCTGACCCAGGTCCTGGTTTCTAGGCACAGCCTACACCCTCTCTCTTCCTGCCCCTGAGCCAGGAACCCCAGATATGTGGATCCCTGAGCCTGCATATCCAATCTCTCTCTCTACTCCCTGTAAACAGCCATTCTTTAGTCCCTTCTCAGGCTTGAGGCTGCACTGGGACCCATCCTTAGGAGGAGGAGCTAGGGAAGAGACACACATAGCCTTGGAAATGTGCTCAGGGCCATTAGGGCGTGGAATTCTGTGATTCCCATATATCTGGAGAACAATCTAGGAAGAGTGTCTTAGGTTCTAGGTGGGCATGACTTCTTGGCTCTATGGACTCCTTGCTCTGAAGGGGGTGGGTAGGAAGGAGAAGGGCCTCTAAACCATGGCACCCAAGGCACAGGCTCCACTTGCTCTGGGCTAAGGTCAGTACTAGTGAGAACTTATCCGGGGAAAGTAAACTATCCAGAGAAAGAACCTAAAGATAATCCAAGAAACTGGCTTGGGCTATAGTGAAGCCCAACAGAAAAATGCATTTATTATACTCAGAGCTTTCAGTATGGTTAAGTTCTTGGCTACTAACTGAAACATCTGCGGTTCAAACCCATCAGTGGCTCCATGGGAGAAGACATCTGGTGACCTGCTCCTGTAAACAGCCTAGCCCT